CTCCTCAGTGCCCTGCGGCCAATATTTGTCCCTCAACAAGTATAACAAATTCAGGCCACCTAGTCGTGACCTGACAAAGGAGCAGCGCTGCGAAAGCCTGTGATTTTAAACTAAACTTGTTGGACTATAACCTGGTGTGCTGTGACTTCGGACTTTGCCCACCCCAGTCCAACACCAAGCCTCCACATTGTGACCTAGTCATTAGCTCATTGCTCTTTGTGGGAGCTTACTGTGCACAAATTGGCTATCATGGTTTCTACATCACAACAATGTCTACTATTTTTTGATTTGATTTACCTAGCTACAGTGAAAGGTTTTGTTTTGCGTGCAGTACGGGCAGATCTTACCATACAAAGTGCATTGGGGGAGTCGAACAGAGCGAGGAATACAATGTTATAGCTGCAGAGAAGGTGCACAAAGAGCGAGGTTTACATTAGATTTGAAATTTGAGAGGCCCACTCAGAAGTCTAATAACAGCGGGGAAGAAGCTGTTCTTGAATCTGTTGGTCCGTGTGTTTAAGCTTTCGTATCTTCTGCCTGACGGAAGAGGTTGGAAGAGATTATAACCGGGGTCTTGATTATGTTGACTGCCTTCCCGAGGCAGTCAGATGTACAGATGGAGTCAGTGGACGGAACGTAAAGTGCTTTGGGATGATGTGAAAGGTGCTATACAAATGAAGTCCTACCAGTGAGCCATAAGCCGACATTCAGACCGTCCCTCGCCCACCTCCCCCTTGGCACATTCAGCACCTCCCCAAAGCCGACACACACCCCCCACGTCCCTAAAAACTCTCCCCTCAGTCTCTCACATCTGCATTTCGAAGGTGGGAGTCACTGGCCATTGAGCAAGCAACACTTGTTCAATTATTTCCTCTCCTCGTTTCTCCAGATAAGGACATTGAGGTTAATCGCAGAAATTCCCAATCTTCCCGGTGGATACTGGGGGGGAGGGGGAGGGGGGTAGCGCGGAAAAGCAGATTTCTGTCTCCCACCCTCCCCCTCTTTCACAGATTCTCTGAAGGGAGTCCTGTACTTACCCATCTCAGTCAGGCTGGCAAAGCCCATGGTGATAGGAATGTGCCGAGGGGTTTTCCCCAGACTTGGTGCACTCGACGACCAAAACTTGCTGCCATCACCCAGACACCTCAACCTGCAGAGGGCATCAAAGAGGGCTCAGGAACCAGAATGGCCATTAGGCCCATCGGACCACACTCCATGCTAGATTACCTCCAGCAGCCAACAGCAATCTAAATGTTCGCTTCAATTATTTACCCCTCCCATTCTGCCCAAACATTCCAACTATCAATTGGGGTAAAAATAAAGTGTTATTTCCTCTAACTGCTGTAATTTGTGTTATGTCAAATTCTGGTTCTGCTTCATTAACTCAATTGTTGTTATGTATCTAGTAGCTGGAAGGCAATGGCCTGGTGGTATTATCACCAGACTGTTAATCCAGAGACCCAGGTAACGTTCTGGGGACCTGGGTTCAAATCCCACTACGGCATCGAATTCAATAAAACAAAACTGGAATTGAGTCTAATGATGACCATGAATCCTTTGCCAATTGTTGGAAAAGCCCATCTGGTTCACTAATGCCCTTTAGGGAAGGAAACTGCCATCCTTACCTGGTCTGGGCCTACATGTGACTCCAGACCCACAGCAATGTGGTTGATTTTTAACTGCCCTCTGGGCAATTAGGGACGGGCAATAAATGCTGCCTGGCCAGCGATGCCCTAACCCTGTGAATAAATGTTTAAACATCCAGTACCTGTGATGGATCCTGGGGAGACTGTGGCGTAGCGGTAATGTCACTGAGCTAGTCGAATGTTCTGGGGATGTAGGTTCAAATCCCATCACAGTCAATGGTGAAATATGAATTACATAAAAAGCTAGTGTAATGGTGTGGTTAAAAACACATCTGGTTCACTAACATCCTTCAGAGAAGGACATCTGCCTTCTTTACCCAGTCTGGCCTATTTGGGATGGGCGCTAAGGGCTGACCTAGCCAGCGACACCCACATCCCACAGATTTTATTTTATATCTTATGTGTCCTTTGCACTGGGTCAAAAACCTGGAACTCCAACACCCCACCCCCAACCAAGGGCATTGTTTGGCCAAGACCTTCTTCTCAGGGTAGAGGAGTCCAAAACTAGAGGGCATAGGTTTGAGATGAGAGGGGAAAAATTTAAAAGAGACCAGAGGGGCTACATTGTCACGCAGAGGGTGGTGTGTGTATGGAACGAGCTGCCAGAGGAAGTGGTGGAGGCTGGTACAATTACAACATTTAAAACATTAAAATCTAGATGGGTATATGAAAAGGAAGGGTTTGGAGGGATTGCGCCAAATCCTGGTAAATGGAACTATTTCAGACTGAGATGTCTGGTTGGTGCAGACCAGTTGGACTGTAGGGTCTGTTTCTGTGCTATATGTCTCTGCGACTACATCCTTTCTTAGGAAGGGTTTAGAGGGATATGGGCCAAATGCTGGCAAATGGGACTAGATTAATTTAGGATATCTGGTCGGCATGGACAAGTTGCGCCGAAGAAATCTGTTTCCATGATATATGTCTATGACTCTACAGCTCACCACCACCTTCTGAAGGGGTGACTAGGGACGACTGAGCAATAAATGCTGGGCCCAGGCAGTGATGCCCATGAGTGAATATTAATAAAAATTGTACAAGTACATTCGAGGGAGGGGTTCTATTTATCAGATTAGTTTGTAGACCGTGGCACTGTTTATTTTGAAGAATAGAAGACTGAAGGGAGATTTGATGGAGGTGCACACAATTATGTCAGGATTGGATGAGGTTAAGAAAGGAAAGTTTCTGTTCGCTGATAATTACAAGGACTAGGGGATACAGATACAAGGTGTTGGTCAACATTGGTTGTGGGTAACGTGAGGCAGATCATTTCACACAGTGAATGGCAAAACAATCCCAAACCTGTCCTTGGAATGTAGCTCCATCCAGGCATTATTCTAAACTGCAGATTTAAGATGGTTGAGAGGAGTGCTGAGGTACACATTGTTCCCTCACTCATCCACCACTCACTGTAGGGTCTGTTAATGTGATGGGGATTTTACCGCCACCCAATTGCAGGCATCTTCGGGAAAGGTGGGGGATGAAAGGAGTGGGGACGAGGGGATGAGGGAACCAGAATGACCCCTTCCTCTGGTCAGTGACCAAGGGATAAGGGATTGAAGGCGACTGGCAGAGCAGCCCGAGCAGAGTTCACAAAGAATCCTCCAGGCCGGAAACAGGCCATTCAGGCCAACCGCTGGGGCATTGTACCCATTGGCGAAGGAAGATCCTCACCTGTCCTCACCACCCAGACGCTCCTTCTGCTGCGTTGAGCTGGGGCCCCAGGTCCGCCCTTTCTTCTTGTGACCCTCGAACTCTTCGCGTTTGTAAACAGCACTGCGGCCCCAGGTCTGACTGCCCTCTCCAGGGGTCACTGCAGGGAACAGCATCTCAGTCACCCATCTGCACTCTCACACACAGACCCGAGCAGCTCCTCTCCGACCCCCTCCCCCCCCCCAACCCCGACTAACACCAACTGGGCCCTCCTCCACAGGCTCCTTTCCCTGAGGCACCTGCCGTGGTTCAGAGGGTTGTAATTGCGCCGCACAGTCAAAAGGTCAAGGGTTCAAGTCCCACGACAGTGACACGAGCAAAAAGAAAAATCCAGGCCGACCCTCTCAGTGTGGCACTGTCAGAAGGTCAGTGCTGAGGGAACGCTGCACTGTCGGAGGATCAGCGCTGAGGGAGCACCGCACCGTCGGAGGGTCAGCGCTGAGGGAGCGCCGTACTGTCGGAGGGTCAGCGCTGAGGGAGCGCCACACCGTCAGAGGGTCAGCGCTGAGGGAGTGCCGCACCGTCGGAGGGTCAGCGCTGAGGGAGCGCCGCACTGTCGGAGGGTCAGCGTTGAGGGAGCGTCGCATTGTCGGAGGTGCCACACTGTTGAAGGCACTGTCTTTCTAAATGAGACATTAGACTGTGGCTCCCTCTGCCATTTCAGTTCCAAGGTCTCTCTCTTAGAGGAGTATTCTGCTAATTATTATCTCCCAGCCAAGATCACTAAAACATATTGTCCGTCATTATCACACCGCGATGTGTGAGAGCTTGCTGTGAGTAAATTGGCTGCAGCATTTGCGACATCACATCAGTGATCACGCTTCAGAAAAGAAATGGCTGCAGAGGGTCTACTGCATCCGCTGCTCCCGATGTGTCCTCCTCTACATCGGTGAGACCAAACGGAGGCTTGCAGACCGCTTTGTGGAACACCTACGCTCTGTTTGCGACAAACGACAACACTTCCCAGTTGCAAACCATTTCAACTCCCCCTCCCACTCCCTGGGCAACATGTCCATCCTGGGCCTCCTCCAGTGTCATAATGACGCCAGCCGCAAACTGGAGGAGCGGCACCTCATGTTCCACCTCGGGAGCCTACAGCCCAATGGTCTCAATGTGGA